CCTGAAATTGAACTCACTCTCATGACTTCTAGCCAAATGATAGACAGGGATGTAAGGTTAATATTTACACCAAGTAGGTCACTCCTTAGAACAATCAACGATGGGAGATCAGAAGGGCAGCATTTGCACAGGGAGATAGCTCAGAGAGTAGGAATGTATAAGAAATAAGGACACAGGGAAAAGGTAACCACAAGGAGGAAGAAGAAGGAAAAGAGCTGTTACATTGTGGGGACTGCAATCAATGTTATGAAACAAAACGTGTATGAACTGTTGAATGCAAAATGAATTTGCTCTGTAAACTTTCATCCAAATCACAATTCAAAAAAAAAAAACCTGTCATTATGAAAGAAGAAAACAGACACAAGGATTGTTCAAGATTTAAGATTAAAGAGACTCGACAACAAAATAAAATGTGTTCCTTCATTGGATCTTGTATTTAAAAAAAAAAAGCTATAAAGTATATTTATGGGGAAACTGGGAAATTTAAACATGCAGTATGTATGGTTGTTGTTTTCCATCAAGTCAGTTCTGCCTCATAGTGACCCCATAGGACTGAGAACTGCCCCAAAGGGTTTCCTAGGCTATAATCTTTGCAGGAGTAATCACCAAGCCCTTTCTCTCCTAGAGCCGCTGGTGGGTTTAAACCACCAACCTTCCTGTTCACAGAAAGGTGCCACCATTGTGCCACCGGGGCTCCTTTAAGTACTGTTGTTGTCACCACTCTTTATTACTGTTGTGGTGATAAGAGGTTCAGGAGCCCACCTGCCAACAGGCAATGTCTATAAATTTCACTCATTCATTCGCAGTCCCCTCATGTGTGGCATTTGCCTGACCATAGGGTTCCACTCTTAGGTGGATCAGCTCCTCCTCCTTGCTACTCTGAGGCCCCAGTGGAGCAGCCAATCCCAAAGACTCCTCACCCTGGCACATGACCCTGACAGGGCCCATCAGAGTCTTGGGTGGGGACTGGTAGATAGGCAGGAAAAGAAAGCAAGCCCTATTCTGCCAGAGCTGCTGGGAGTCTGGAGCCACATGAACTCTAAAAGCAGACTTCCTGGATTCAAGTCTAAGTTTTGTCTCTTACCAACTGTGTGGCATCAGGCAAGCCACTTAACCTTTCTGTGCTTTACCTTCTGCATCTGAAAAATGGGATATCAACAGTACCTACCTCAGAAGGCATTAATTCTATCTCAGAAAATTAAATGAGTTAATACTGTGTTACCACCCTGCCTGATACAGAGTACACACTCAAAAACCATTATTATTACATATGTCTGTGTGTGCTAGGTCACAACGTAAGATATATTTATTTCAGAGGGTCACAGTCAAAAATGTGTGAAAGCCACTGGCTTTCAAGGTACTTTACTTTGGGTTTCTAATACTTGCAATCAAAGAGTTGTGACTGATACAGAAACTGATTCCAGGAGTGGGGTGTGTGAAGAGACAGACACTAAAATATGAAGGTGGCTGAGTCGCAGAAATTGTTGCCAAGAGTAGGGCCCATGAAGAGGCAAGCACCAGAATGTGGCAGTGTAAGCTGAGGTGGGCCACAGGGAGAGCACACGGCTGGGTTAAGAGAAACCCCTTCTGCCTGCTGCTGGCAAACCAAGGCTGCTGGGGGGCCAATCATACACACCTTTTGAGCATAGAAAAACATGTATTCTACTCCTCAGACTCAAGTTAGTGTGAGCAAAAGTAGATAAATACCCAATCCAGTGGGAGACAGGACTGAGAGAAGAGAAGAACAGAGACTAGGGGGAAGCCTGACCTAGCCCCAGTTCCTCCTTAATACCTCCCCCACTGTGCTCTCTGCTTGCCAAACAAAGGCCATAACTTCCCCTTTATATAACATCATGCTCAGGAATACAGCCCAGGGCCAGGAAGACAGACTGCCTACCTCATAAAGCCACCAAGAGCCCCAGACAGAAGTACCTGAGAGCTTCTGAAAACTAGGTGAACCTAAGAGCTGGAGGATGGGCACCACGCTGAGTACTGCTAAGAGACTGAAACTGCACAAGCAAGGTCCAAAAAAATGAATGAATAACAACAACAAGGAAAAAGTCTTAGTGCAAGCATCATACACAGTAGTGAAAGGGTAAATGCATCTCTTTAAGACCAACAACCTAACAAACTATACCAGAAGTCCTTGTCAGCCCAAGAGGAACACAAAGTATAAGAACTGGAAAGGAAGAAATTAGACTGTACTTATTCAGAGATTTTATAAAATTGTTTACTTACAAACTCCAAAAGAAATCTACAATTCACATGATATAAGGTCACAATATGTAAAGGTCAATTTTATATCAATGCAACAGTAAATGAAAAGTTTTAAAATATAAGTTATAACAGCAACAAAATATAAGACACCTAGAATGAATCTAACAAAAGATGGGTGAAATCTTTATGTAAAAAAAAATCTTTATGTGAAAAATCATTTAAAAATTTTATGGAAAGATGATGTTAAAGAAAACCTCAAGTCAATGGAGAGACA